TGGCCGGTATTCATTTGACTAGTCCTTCGAATACACTTGCCCGTTTGTTACAAAGGAATGTGCAAGTGTATTCGAAGGACTAGTCAAATGAATACCGGCCATTTACATATGATTATCGAAATAAACCGAAAAGAACGCAAGTGCTTTCGGAAAAATGTCCGGTAACTGAAATAAAAGTCAACTGAAGTTAGTTTCGTCAAGTCAAAGCTTTATTGTTCTTACCGGTGTAGTCGAGGTGAGAATCAGTGAAATACAAGGTTGGACAATATTTTGAGGAAGAAAAAAGTAATTTAAGTCAGATGTATGGACTAAATAAACATTTACTGAGTACAAGTGCATAGAGCAAGACTTTAACTCAAAAAAGTTAAAGAAAATTCCCCAATGTTCGTGAAAACTATTAAAGTGGAACTTGATTATGTAACAGCTTGGTTAAATAAGACGTCTAGATACTTCGTAGAAGAGTACTTAAAAGTGCTTAATCTTTTATAGACAAATGTATACGTGCAACACAGTTTTGACTTCATTAAGTGAACTTCTTATAGTAAACAGAACATCTGTACATTTTGAAGCATTCTAGCAACACTTATTCACTGATAAACAGTGGGGTTTTTAGGAAATAGTATTCTATACAGCTGTAAGAAATGGGCTATCCAAAAATTACATTCCGAACACTTTTATTATTATTACTTATCTTGAAAGAGATGGAATGTCGAAGTATTTGGGATAAATAGAAGGAAAATAGCAATGGGCACAATGAATCAATCTGGAAAATACCGATAAAAGCAGTGCGAAAACTGCTGGCTATCGATGAAGTAGTCCGTTATTATCTTACCAGCGAAAGCTTAGACAAACAAATAGGAAAGATGAAACAAAGGTTTATCTCACTAGATACTACCAAAATACACCCATTAGTAGCAGGTAAGGAAGCATAACCATATATATCTGCATTTTTCTTATTTAATCCAGCATATCTAAGTACAGTGGAGCTTTCACTGTAGTAGGCGAACTGTTAAGGGTAATGACAACGTTTGGAAAACTTGCGTCCATTTTGGTTGTCAATTAGCTTTCGTATGGATGAAGCGGAGGGTCTCAAGAAAAAACAAAACGAAGTCTTTCTTAGGGACTGGTTGGGTGAATACTGGTAACAAACCGTTAAGAATTTATCGCTCATCGCAGCATTGTTTGACTAAATCAGAGAACACGGGATCCATTGCAGTCGCATATTCCCTTATATGACCAGGTTGGCGGTTGTATGGTTCGCTTGCATTCCTGGATTCATTGAACGTATATACGGAAATATAAAAAATTGATCGACGGGGATCTCGAGAATACCTGATAAGAATGTGCTTGAAGTTGAATTCAATGGTTTCTGATCGATATGTTGTTTCCGATAGTTTTTTAAACATTCACTGAACCATTTAATCACGTTCTAAGTCTCACGAGAGTTTGCGGTGATCAGTAGACTCTGTACCAGCATATAAAGTAATCAGTTGATTTCCCTAGTTCGTTCTTGTACCAAGGTTGTTTATTGGGACTGGAGGCCATATGATCTATACAAGTGTTGATTGGGAGCAGCATACATCACTGCAACAAGATCAGTCAGATAGACGTAGTGTTGATATGTAAGGATTTGTGAAAATGGAAAAAATCAGCCTCACTGATCGTTGGGACTTCTGGTTCATAGTCTTTGCACTTTGTCCCTTTTTCAGATTGCCAGTTACCCTTTTCGACAGACAACCCCATGTCCGTTGATTGTTCCAACCTACTTCGGGAATCGGACTATATTCGGTTGCCTGGTAAATACGTTCACGACGAGACATCCAGCAGCACACACGGACCAAGGCATAATACAGTATGAAATTTGTTCTTGGAATACACCAGCGACACATTGAATGCATTTTTCATTCAAATATGTTCTTGTTAAACCAGAAGGACCGTTCTAAGAGAACATGTTCAAATATGTTTGTTGCATACTGTCATTCATCGGCGGGTGTNNNGCGGGTGTTGGACTCAGTGAATAGTTCTCATGTGATCTCCAATGTTGTCCATTCTCCTCGTATGAGAAACACACTTTAAGGAAATTCAAGTAGTTGTACGGTTAGAATGCACGATTTTTTTCAAGCTTTCATAAAAAACCCTACAGTGTGTTTCTAGATAGCCCTAGATCGGTTGAAGACATTTTTCTGAAAATTGACTGTCTCATTTTATGCTGAATACGACATAAAACAGGCCTAGTAGGTTACTAATAATAAAAAGTATTATTGATATTGTTATTACCATACTACTAATCATCATTTGAAAAGGAACGTGATTTTAGCTGAGGTATGAGACGCTATTTGATAACAGTTTCTTGTATTTTGCATAATTGAATACTGTATTCGGTGTTAGGTCCTGTACCTGCAGTTTACCTCATAGAATACAGCAAAAGCCATGTGTTTTCTCGAACCTGCACCTCCAGTTTTATATGGAACGGATCTTGTTTCTTAAACCTAAGTATTCGCATATATTTATACATTTAGCGCGCATTGCATTGTTTTACGCGACGTTCTGATTCGACCAACGGGTTGTGCGCATTTCTTAGGGCGTATTCCGCAGCTGATACAAGTTTCTTTCAACATCGGAACTGTTTAACATCGTGAATCCCTATGAAGAATTAAATTTAAGGTCAAAAAACTTGAAACGAGTCATGCGAATTAAAGGAATCCGGATAAAGTGTGGGTCCGTGAAGAGGTTCATGGGTGGCGCAGCAGGTAGCTGGTAGGCAGTGCCACAGCACAAAATTCCAGATGCAATCCCCGATCAACTTACCGATGCTTTGCGCTGTTTGACTTCGGTTTCATGTGTGTGAGACGTGTTTTCTTGAATAATTCCAGGTGGAGGTTTGCCGGACAACGGAACTGTTTGTGAACCAGGAACGGGTTTTGGTTCCGGTCCTTGAAATTTGTGATGTCGATACTTTTTCAGCAACCATTTCCATTTTTTCGCAAATTTTGTAGAGGCATTATTTGTGACGGTGTTAGTGCCCTGCGTACTGTCCCCACGTTTGTCCGCATTCGGAAGGAAACCTTTCAGTGTGAATGCCGTTGTGCTGGATATCGGAGACTTCGCGCCAGATGGAGCATGAAGAGAACCATTTTTTTCCAGGACAATCGCAATTTCACTCACATTCAAACTGTTTTTGCTTTCATCATTTGTTTCTTGTTTTATCTGTGTATTTCCGACGGCCAATGATATCGTATTTACGTTGTCCTGGTTTTTGACGTATTCAAACTCTTTTGGACACGAGAGACGTTTTGGTTGAACACATTCATCTGCCGGTAAACGTTCCAAATTGGTTTCACTTTTCACAGAACTGATTCTGTACATTGCGCAGTTTAATGCTTCGAGATATTCCACACACACACAGGGAAGTATAGAAGAGAAATGAGTTTTCTC